AAACATAGTTTGTGCGCAAATAAAAGCATAGTTTGTATGACAAATGCAAAAGGACTTCATGCAAAAGCGACGACCACGTCCATCATCATCTTGGTCACTTTTCACCCGCCGTCATGATCTTCACTCCACACCACCTCCATCGATGCCATCGCCGCCCCCGAGTGACATCAAGTCACGAGCTACCACAATGGCGAAAAGCAAAGCAAGTAGAAGTAATCGAATATGCATACCTTCCGGCCATTTCATCGAACACCTTGCCTGCGGTGGAAGCAGCGCAGTTGAACGGCATCGTCGGGGAACCTCTTGCCAGGGCGGAGGAAGTGGATGAAGGCGATGTCCTTTTCGTCATCGGAACCTTCTTGCGCTTCACACCCGAAACCTTGCCAACCTTCTCCCGCGGCGGCCGGGCAGATCGCGCAGTGGTGGCGGCGCCGGGCGCGTGTGCCTTCCCGGCGGGGCCAACTGGATTTCCACCTTGCACGACCACGTTGCCCTGCCGCTTGCGGGCAGGCGCGGTGGTGCCTTGAGCGACGACGAGATCTGCCAGAGGGGATTGCGCGTGTGTAACATCCACGGTGATGGGGGACGGCTGGGAGGTTTCCATGGCGGCGAAGAATGGCCAGGGAAGATGGACCGGAGCGGGTGGTGCCGGGCAATGGCGGCCAAGGAGGGAGGGGAAGTGGGAGTGGCCGCACGAAAATTCCCCTCACGCCAAATCTCGATGCGGATAAGGGGCGAGCTCGGGCCGGCCTCCCACCCCGTGAATCTAAAGGTCGAGGGCAAACTTTTGCCGCGCCCCACAAAAATTTATACGGGTCCGACGCGTTTGCGGGGTCTGATGAGGCAACATTTTCTCCTGTTTATTTTTGTTTGTTTATTATTTGTGTTTTCACTTTATAATTATTTAAAAATATTGTAAATATATATTTCAAATAATAAAAAAATAAAATCGTGAATTAGAAAAAAAGTTACCAAAGTGTAAAACAATTGTTAGTTTAATTAAAAAACAATGTTGATAGCATATTAAAAAATCTTTGTGATATTTAAACTTTTTTCCTTGTTGCAGAAAATATATGTGACATCATTAAAGATGTTAAACATATATCAAATAAATGTTTCAAATGTATATGCAAAATGTTGATAGCATACAAAAAAACGTTTGTGACATTTTAAAAAATTTCATGCCTTTCAAAAATATCTATATAACATTATAAAAAATGTAAACATGCATTTGGAAAATGTCAATTGTATATCAGCCTCACAATATTATGTTGCAGTAGTATCTTGGACAGCAGTATCTTGCAGAACAAGAGATGCTAATTAAGTTTTAAATCATATATTTGCATTCTTATAAAGTTAATAATCACCGAAATAGGCATACAGCTGTAGCGACCCCGCCCAAGGAAAACAATCATGCGGACCTAGTATATAAATCCACTTTCTGTTTCTAAGAAAGAACAGTGGTCATTTCAGTGTAAACCTAAGAAACACACCACTCACCTTAATCATATATACATATTTGACCAGACACATCAATCGAAACATCCGATTCTTCGGTCAAAAATGAATGTTAAATAGACAGAACTGAACATCACAAAACTCAACCCATCTGCAGTCATCCATCGTTTCAAAGTAAGAAAAATATACCCATGCTTAATTATGGTAATTCAGCCTCGCAATATTATGTTCCAGTGCAGTAGAAAATTTACATCAGACTAATTAGGTCCATCTTCTTTTATTTGAGAGATGGTTAGCTGGAACTTATGAGTAAAACATAAGTCTAATACGAGTGAAAATATCTAGCATCTTAACCATTAATTTTTGCTCAAGTAAAACTTTTTAAAGAAAAGTTTATGAATCCGAACAGCAGGGTGATACATTTCGGTGGAAAATGACACATCATTACTCTTTTTGCTTTCTGGTTTCATGGGTGCTGGTTTCAACACAAAATTGATCCACCCCACACATCTTCAAAATGGAAGTCGGAATAAAATATATATCCATGGACTTGTCATTTACAGAGATCTTCTCTAAGAAATGACAACATCAACATATGGGGGTTCAGGAATCAAATTTTCAGTTTCACAAGGAGTTAGCATTTAACAATGACTAACTAGCATGTAACAGGCATACTACAGTAAACAACCAACATCATCTTAGGCAAAGAACACCGAAACAGGAAGTACCAGCTTACAGACAGGGTGATAACTTTGTTGTGCCATAGACTGTAACCAATTTCCATAGCCCTTCTTTGTTCATGTAAATCTGAAATTAGTAGGCACTTCCCCTTTGCAAGCTATTGCATAGTCTTCAGCAAGGTGTGGCGCAGCTTCCTTGTGAGGGGATATGAGTTTCTCCACAAATACCTTGTCAGTAATCTTGACTGCAGTATAGAAGCTCAAGTCACGATCTAGCAGTCCATTTTTCTTGAGAAACTTTACAAGATAGTACCGAGGCCTGACCCGGCCCTCCAGGCTAAGACAAATAATTATCGGTCGATGAGCAATGTACATGGGCTCCAACCCCACCTCAGATAGCAGGAACTCGGACTTGCGCTGTAGCATGTCCTTTGACATCCTCAGCAGCATCGGAGCCTTAGACAAAGCAATAACCACCTCAGCAGCAGACCACCTGAATGTGTTCTTCAAGTAGTCCACTTTGGCGGCAATCTTCTCCTCGCTTTGGAATGCGACAGCATGTAGCGCTTGTCTGAACATCCCAGAGCCACGGGGCACGCCTATACCTTGGCGCATGTCACCATCGCCCGGACGCGCTCCAGGTTGGTGGTGAGCATCCTTGGCCGATGGATGCACAGCTTGGCAATATCACAATCACCTAGCCCGCACTCCCTGAGGAAGGCAACATTGGGCTTGACAACCTTGGTGGGGATTAACAGAACCGAAACAGTTGCCTTGGCCGTGTAGCAATCCAAATTCATCGTCGAATATTAAACTGATAACATTCAAATATATGGAATTTCAGGTCGCAAAGCTTTCGAGTCTACATACTGCAGTTTCTACAATCTCAATTAGTACCTGCAGCTTACACTAATCTCGATTTCAGTTTGATATAAACAATCATTCAGCTCTTATATTCAGGACAATTAGTACCGGTAACAATCTCGATTTCAGTTTGATATAAACAACACCTGGTATCCTAAACACTCAGGACAGTGTGTCTATAATCTTTCTAGGAAATATGTACAGCAGTCATTGTTGTAAAAAAAAAAGGGCATTGCATCTTAGGCATTACTCTCTCCGTTCCAAAATATAAGTCTTTTTAGACATTTCAAAGGACTACAACATACGGATGTATGTAGACATATTTTAGAGTGTAGATTCACTCATTTTGCTGCGTATGTAGTCATTTGTTGGAATCTCTAAAAAGACTTATATTTGGGAACGGAGGGAGTAGTACATCTTAGCAGGCAGTACACTAAGCACAGACTGATAATTCCTCGCATTACCTCAACCCTTGCATCTTTATCAGCAAGTTCCTCAAGTGTCTTGGTGAAGCACTAAAACCAAACATGTGCCAACAACAATCTCAAGGTAGAGGCAGGCCATGAAAAAACGGAGATAACTTTTCTTGGTGGTTGCCATGATTTCCATCCTTCCCGGTCCCTTCATCCCCTGACCTTCCAGGACGAGGGAGATGGTAAAGCAGAACTAAATATAAGGAACATGCTGATAACACCAAATCATAAGTATCCCGTTTTATGAACAGTATAAAAAAAGTGCATTTAGATATTGGATACTAGATATGGATACTCCTTTCTGGGATGATTTGGATACTTGTTAAATCAACCAAGCTGGAGACTCAAACTGTATAAACATAAACTTCCTATAAACATAAACTGTTGCCAAAGCCAAACAACACAATGATGGCTATATCATCAGGAAGATCAATGACATGAGGAGGAGCTACAGGAAAGATCCAAAGTTAAAAACGAAATTCCAATCAACCAAAAGTGAAACTACAAAGATCGTACCAAGGTTGGAGGTGGCAGCGTCTTCCATTTCCTGGTCTTCGTTCCTGGTGGAGGTCTCGGAGGTAGCAGCACTGCAGATTTCAGAAACCAGTCGGTTAGCCAACGAGTCGACCAAGAGTCTGTTCATGCTAAACGAGAAAACACAAGTTCTGATGTTACCCGGAAATGGTGGGAATGGCCATTCTCATCTTGGGCAAGGCCTTCGGCGGCTTTGATGACGCCGCTCGGGGATGCTTCGGCGTTTTTTCAGTCGGCGCTGGAGAGGCCGTCCGAGGACGTTTCGACGACTGCCCAACAGGCACAGTCGCTTTGCCACGCTCGCTCGCGGGGTCGTGGGTGAGCTTGGATCACCTTTCCATGCGAGGATGATCGACTTCCTCCTCCTCCTCTTCACTGGAGCCGTCATCATCCTCTTCCCCCTCACCATCAGATTGCCACTCCTCCTCACTTTCACCTCCGCTCGCCTCCTCCTCCTCGGTCTGTTCTTGCGCCCCGTTGGGCATCGAGTACATCTTAGTAGTGGCCTAGACAACAAACGAGACAGAAGTCAGTCGACTGATTTTAAGCAAACAGAATGAAGAAAACAAGGTCACAGTCGGAGATGCAGAATCGGACCTGGTCTACTTCGTATGATTGGTCGAGTGGAGGAATCCTCCTGGCTCCTCGGGGGTTGTCTTTGTTCCCTGTGATGGCCGTCAGCCACCTCTCTAGCGTGGCTTCCTCGACCTCCTCCGGGTGGATCCGAGTGGTGTCCTCAGTGCCAGAATACAGCCACATCGGATGGTCTTGAAGCGGATGGATGCGTCGTCGAAGGAAGACCTCCAAGAGGTCCATGCCGGTCACCCCGTCACGGATAAGCTGGACAACACGTTCGACCAGCACCTTAACCTGCACCTTCTCTTCCGGGATCACCTTCAAAGAGGAAGGCTTCCTCACTCGGTCCATAGAAAAAGGAGGGAGTCCGGTCGACTGCCCTGGCGTTGGCTGGTCTTTGCAGTAAAACCAGGTCGACTGCCATCCACGGACCGAGTCGGGTAGGACCATGGCCGGAAAAGCACTTTTCCCCCTCATTTGAACCCCAAAACCCCCACACATCTGAATCACTTGTGTTCTCTCGTCACTCGGATTGGCCTTTTTCACCGTCTGGGCGCGACAAGTGAAAATGTGCTTGAAAAGACCCCAATGAGGCCGACAACCCAGGAAATTCTCGCACAAAGCCACGAAACCAGCGAGGTACACGATGGTGTTGGGAGTGAAGTGGTGGAGTTGCACCCCAAAAAAATTCAGAAATCCCTGAAAGAAAGGGTGAGGCGGCAAAGAAAACCCACGGTCGACATGGGTGGCCAAGAGAACGACCTCACCCTCCTGAGGCTGCGGCTCAGACTCCTTCCCCGGGAGCCGCGCCGATCCATGGGGGATCAGTCCTCCATTGGCCAGGTCGTCAAGATCTTCTTGACGAATCGTCGAGCAGATCCAGTCGCCCTGGATCCAGCCCTGCGGCAGGCCGGCCCTCGATGAAGATCCGCCCCGACTGGTTGCCCTTCCCTTCGCCTGCGCCGTCGCCCTCTTCGCCCGCTCCAGGGCCGCCGTCTTCTCTTTCACCATCGTCGTCGGCGAGACGCGCACAGAGCAGCGGCACTGAGACGGAAGCGAATGCGGCAGATAAGTCTGAGGAAGAGAGGAGGAAGTGAGAGCGCACTGTTCAAAAACCCCCATTTGGGGTCTTATATGAGGTTACTTCCGAGTGACTGACTTGTAGGCCGGGCGATCCTGTCAAATACCGCAACAGTCGCGCGCGCGATACGTGGCGAAAAAGGTGGCACGGAGATCGAGGCGTCCCTGCCTTATCCCATCCGATTACTGCGGCCTCCTCCGCCCCGCGCGCTTTCCGAAATTCGAATCCCGCTAAATCCGCGGGCTACAGAGCAACTCGTCAGACGAAAGATTTCCTCCGCCCTGTCGTTCGGAGTTCTCCAAGTAAAGAAATTCACTCGACGGATACAAAGAATGGATCAAGGCGACTGAAAAAGAAGTTGGTGCCGTCACCTAAGTTCATTGATCCAGAACAAGACATACTCATAGCACGAAAATGGGTCGGAAGTGTGTTCAACTCCTTCCCCACTCAAACCTCGATCCATTCGGGGGCTAATGATGAAGCCATGTACCTAGGGTAGGGTCATGGACCTGTCCAGGATACCCTCCCCAAGGACATCTCTAGAGGAAGCCACCTTTCAGTCGACCTGGAAGGGTTTCACTCGACAGACTCAAAGACACTCGACCATGAAGCCAACCACTCGACTGCCAGGAGACCTAAAGTCACTCTGCACGCAAACGGTTTGTCATTAAGTAACTTTTATGGTCATCATAGCACTTTATTTGTGGCGATACCAGTAATGCCCGACCTTAATGTACCTTAAACCCTGCATAACTGAGGGCCGGAGGGGTCTGTGGGGCTCTATATAAGCCACCCTCCTCCTCAGTGTAAAGGGTTTGCACCCCTGTAACTCATATACACATAATCCATTCGACCGCCTCCGGGCTCCGAGACGTAGGGCTGTTACTTCCTCTGAGAAGGGCCTGAACTCGTAAACCTCTTGCGTATACAACTACTCCATAGCTAGGATCTTGCCTCTCCATTCCTACCCCCCTACATTACTGTCAGACTTAGAACCACGACAGGAGGGGGCTCACTTCAAGGGGGGCAGCGATGGCTGACGTCCGACGACGAGGACGGCGGGCTCGGGGCGGCACGCGGTGACGGGGACGGCCGGCGTGGGGCGGCGCGGGGAGGTGATGGTGACGACACGGAGTGGCGCGCGTTGACGGTGTCGGGGCGGCGCGGGGCGCGGGCGGCGACGGGGGCGGTGACGACGGGCGCGGGCGACGGCGACGAGGAGCAGGGCGTCGGAGCAGAGGGCGGCGGCGGCGGCGGGGAGAATGAGGAATTGAATGAAATTTTTGACAAGTGCTTTATATATAGCAAGAGCATTGGTCCCGCTTTGTGGCACTAACTGGGACCAATACAACCCTTTAGTCCCGGTTGGTGCCACCAACCGGGACCAAAGGTCTCTTTTCAGCAGCCCAAAGGGTGGGAAGCAGAGGGCTTTGGTCCCGGTTGGTGGCAACAACCGGGACTAAAGGGGGGGGGGTATTGGTCCCGGTTCGTGGCACCAATCAGGACCAATACACTTCTTTAGTCCCGGTTGTTGTCACCAATCGGGACCAAAGGCCCTGTGCTGCCCGCGTCGCGGCCAAAGTTTAGTCCCACCTCGCTAGTTGAGAGAGCTCGAGAGTGGTTTATAAGCGCTCCTGCGCCAACCCTCTCGAGCTCCTCTCAACTGAAGGTTTCCGGGCCTAATCTGTCACTGTGTGCCTGTGGGCCTACTGGGCCTACTGCGGGCCTGAATCCTGGCCCATTGTTGGGTTTCTAGTCGTATTCAGGCCGTGGTGGCCCTCAGGTGACACTTTTTTGTTGTTGTTTTGCTTTGTTTATTTTATTTTGTTTCTACTTACAGCAAAATACTTACTAGTTTTTCAGTGATTCCTTTTTGCTTTTAGGTAATAAAAATTATAAACTTTCTGTTAGTGCCATTTTTTTCTAATTTGAATAGTTTGAATTTGAATTTTTGGAAATTTGTGTGAATCACTAGTTTTTGAATAGCTTTACTATAAAAATAGATTTTTGAGTGATTCTTTTTCCTGCTATTTATTCATTATGTTAGTGCCATTATATTCACTTGTTTTTACTTATTTATTAAAGTTTGTTTTGTTTCTACTTATATTTTCTTTTCTTTTTTTCTTCTTCTATTGATTTTATGAAAATTCTTTCTTTTTTGCTTTATTTATTTTATTTTGTTTCTACTTACTGTTGCTATTTTTATTTATTTTATTATAGTTTATTTATTTTACATTATTAAAGTTTATTTTGTTTCTACTTATTTATTAAAGTTTTTTCTATTTCTAATTATTTATTTTATTTTGTTTCAACTTATTTTTTTATTTCTTTTTGCTTTTTTATAAAAATTCTTTTTGCTTTTAATGTTTTACACACAAAAGCCCTCTTCCCTGGTTGGATTGGTACCGGTTTGTGGCCTGACCTGGCACGAAAGACAACGCTTTGGTACCGGTTCAGGCCACAAACCGGTACCAATGATTGTGGGCCAGGAGCGGGGCCTATTGGTCCCGGTTCATGCCGCCAACCCGGGGCCAAAGGGGCCAGACGAACCGGGACCAATGGCCCCACAAGGCCCGGAAGGCCCCTGGCCTCACGAACCGGGATCAATGGGCCCATGGGTACCGGTTCGTGAGCGAACCGGGACTAATGGGCTTATCTGGCCCGGACGTATGCCTTGTTTTCTAGTAGTGCTAGTCAACTGGTTTCCCCTTTGTTAGGTCTCTCTCTCTCCTATCGACGGTGACTGCAGCCACCGTTAACATATGTATCCCCTAACTCCGATCCATTGGTTCGGGCCGAATAAGGGCTTCAACGACCTTGGCTACCCACCTGTCGGGCGAGGAGGAAGCCCAGCCGCACCTAGTGGCCACGTCCCGGTGCGTCACCTACAGACGACAGCCGGGAATCGCCCATCGGCTCCCCGACCGAGCGGGTTTTTCCCCCTCTCACTCCTCAGTCGCCTAGAACGTTCCAGAAGACCACAACATATACACGTACACACATTTGCAATATACTCCCTCCGTTCCAAAATAATTGTCTTTCTAGCCATCTCAAATGGACTACAACATACGGATGTATGTAGACATGTTTTAGAGTGTAGATTCACTCATTTTGCTCCGTATGTAGTTGTAACGCCCCGGACACACCCGCCGGTGGTCGTTACTCCTGGCGGGATCTAGACTGGCCCCACAGATCAATACTAGTCTTTTCTGTGCACTTTGTCCTCACTCGTGCGCACCCGGGAGCAACTTCCCACTTTGGAGTTCTGTCCGAATGGGCTCCCGGAAAAGAAAGAATTCCTTATTGATATGAGTAGTCTATCATCCCTAATAAGCCAGGCTATTACAGTAGTCATTTGTTGAAATCTCTAGAAAGACAATTATTTAGTAACGGAGGGAGTAGGACTGTTACACACACTGACACACGGTTTGATCCTCACTCAGGCCCCACACGGTTTGGGTCCTCTTTTAATCCCCTTTCTTCTCCACTTGTTAAATAAAACACAAAAAAGATTCCTCTCATCTTCTTCTTCTCCCCGTCCCGATCTGAAGGAGCTTCCCCTCTCTCCCACCGATCCCAGCAGCAGCCATCATCGCCTCCCCCATCTAAATTTACCCTCTTCCCCACCTTTCCCCTGCCTGCAACGACGGCGCCTCCAGGAACGGCACGGCGGCGTCCGCTCGTCCACACCTTCCTCGTCCAGATCCGGTTGCGGGGTGCTCAGGAGGGCACTCTCCAGCTCCGAGCACGGCGGCGCCCCCCTCCTGCGTCGAGTCTCTCTGCTAGTTCGCACTGCCGCCTCGAGCTGCTGGCCAACTCCTCTCTCTGGTTCCGGCCTCCAGGGGCGGCGCGGAAGTGAAGAGCAGAGTAGCAGTACACTGTACACATCGGCATGGCAGCGAGCGCGACGACGGGGGTGATGAACCCTCTCCTCGGCAAGCTCAGCCAGCTGCTCAGCGAGGAATACAAGAAGCTCACGGGGGTCAGGAAGCAGGCCTCGTTCCTCAAGGACGAGCTCAGCGCCATGAAAGCTCTGCTTGACAAGATGGAGCTCATGGATAACCTCGATCCCTCCGCCAAGAACTGGAGGGACCACATCAGAGAGATGTCCTATGATATGGAGAACTGCATCGATGACTTCATTCATGACATCGAAGGTGCCCGTGCAAAGAAAGGCTTCGTCAGGAAGATGGCGCAGCGCCTCAGGAGGTTGGGGAGGCGTCATCAGATCGCCAACCGCATCGAGGAGCTCAAGGTCCTTGCGGTGGAGGCGAATGCTCGGCGTGAGCGGTACAAGATTGATGATTGCATCGATTCGAGTCCTGGCCCTGTGGCTGTGGATCCCCGGATTTCGGCTGTTTACAAGGAGGTAGCAGGCCTCGTTGGTATTGATGGCCCAAGAGAAGAGCTTGTCAGTTTATTAATGGGTTCCGAGAAGAAACTCAAAGTTGTTTCCATCGTGGGGTTTGGAGGCTTGGGTAAAACTACGCTCGCAAAACAAGTGTATGATGAGATTGGAGGAAAATTTACATGCAAGGCATTTTTCTCGGTCTCCCAAAGGCCGGATGTGAAAAGCCTTCTTAGTGGCCTACAATTCAAGCTTGGCATGGGGGGTTCTTCTCATGCTTATGAGCTGCAAGATATTATTGACCGCCTTAGAGAACACCTCAAACATAAGAGGTATTTTTTTCTTCTAGTACCGATATATATTTGACATCATTCTTAGCATACTTTGTTTCGCTCATTTTTGCTTTGATGCTTCTCTGTACCTTACAACCATATATTGATATAATGTATGAATTGCAATAGGTACTTAATTATAGTTGATGACTTGTGGGATCAATCAGCATGGAATACTATTAGGTGTGCCTTTCCAGACAATGCTAATGGAAGTAGAGTGATGGTAACCACACGATTGGATGACGTAGCTGCCACAACATGTCTGAGTGATCGTGCCTGCATTTACAGTATGAAGCCACTCGAAGAGCAAGACTCAAGAAGACTATTCTTTAGTAGAGTATCCGGGCCTGAAAATGTCTGCCCACCACAGTTTAAAGAAATTTCAGCTCAAATTCTCAAGAAGTGTGGCGGATTGCCACTTGCAATTATCACCATAGCTAGCCTATTAGCTAGCCGTGAAGCGAGACCGTTGAGTGAATGGGAGAGCATAAAGAATTTCCTTGGTGCCAAGTCTGCCACAAAACCCACCTTGGAAGAGATGAGGAGTATACTGAACCTTAGCTATATGCATCTTCCTGTTTATCTTCGGCCATATTTTTTGTATCTTGGCATGTATCCAGAAGACCGTGAGATTCAGATGGATGACCTAGTTCGGCAATGGATAGCCGAAGGCTTTGTCTGTAGTTCGTACAGAGCGGATTTGGATGATGTTGCGGAAAGTTATTTCAACGAGCTTGTCAATAGAAGTCTGATTCAGCCTGTAGAGACATGTCATGGGAGGGTACTTTCTTGCAGAGTACACGATATGATGCTTGACTTGATCCTAAGCAAGAGTACAGAAGATAATTTTCTCAGTGTAGCATATAACCATGAAGACATTGCAAGATTGCATAGTTGCGAGTACAAGGTTCGTCGATTATCCCTCCAATCAGATGTAGGTGGTGCAAAGTCAGAGGCCCTTGCTACTAGCATGTCACAAGTTCGATCATATGCATGGTTTGCAGAGTCCCAATATACACCTCCCCTTTCACAATTTAAGTATCTACGGGTGCTTGCCTTTGAGTTTCCATATAATTGGAAAATGACAGTCAACCTCACTGCAATTGGCCATTTGTTTTTACTGAGATATCTGAAGGTTTCAGCCATATCAGCAGGTGTAGTGCTCCCAGCAGAGATTCAAGGGCTTGTGTATTTGGGAACTCTGGAGTTATATTGCAAGCCGCCGCAAAGCTTTCCTTCGGATATAAGTTATTTGGCGAACTTGTTTCATCTGGTGCTTCCAGATTGTATAGGGCTGCCTAAAGGGATCAAGAAGATGAAATCCATCCACACCCTGCGATGTTCCGCATTGGCCAAGAGTTTGCTGGATGATATCAAAGGCCTTGGTGAACTGACCAACCTGAAGGAATTGAACTTAAGCACTTATTACGGCAGGTGCTTGACGTTGGAACAAGAGGATGCTTTGATCTCCTCCATCGGAATGCTCCGAGACCTCAAGCACCTCTTCCTCGGCTGCTCCTGTGTACGCAGTGATTCTGACATCCGGTTAGAGTCATTAGCTGATCCCCCTCCCCATCTCGAGGTACTCAATGTGTCATGCTGGAAGTTCAGTAGAGTTCCCAAATGGATTCGTGAGCTATGTTGCCTACGGATCCTCAGTCTGCACGTGTTGCACCTGTCTAGTGATGATTTTCGTGTTCTTGGGGAGCTTCCCTCCCTCGTCGATGCCAGTATCAAAGTGTCGGATGTTTCCCAAGACAAGGTTGTGATGGTTGGCACAGGGTTGTTCCCGGTTCTGGAGGACTTCTCGCTTACGGCTGATAAAAATGCCATTGTATATCTGGATTTCGAGGCAGGAGCTATGCCCAAGGTACAAAGGCTCACCCTGCAATCCAACTGGAGAGAGTGGAGAGGTGCTACACCAGTCGGCATGGAGTGCCTGCCCTGCCTCCAGGACATCCGCGTCTGTCACCAACACTGCCACCTTGTGTCGAGAGAAACGCTTAAGAGATGCGATGAAATTGAGTCTGCCTTCGAGCGCGCTGCAAGCCTGCACCCAAGGCATCCCTCTGTTACTTTTCTGTAGCCATCCATTGGATCGATCCGCCACTTTGCTGTCTGCAACTTAATTATTTTCTTTTCTCAAGCACTGTAAGCTTGATGCACCTTCAGTTATATTTTTTGAACGAATATTTATGTCAGCGTAAGTCGCCTCGTCTGGTTCGATGTATGCATGCATGTATACTTCTGGACGTGTTTAATTTTGGCGCACGTACTCAACTGATTAAGCTTGACTTGATACGACTTGATTGGAAACGCATCGGTGCGCGCAGCTGGTGAAAATACAATGGACAACAGCTGATATCATGAAAGCAATCAGGTCACAGATACAATAAAATTAAGAAATCAAGAAATATGCATGGTATGTCAAGGATCAGCTGAAACCTGGACACCACCAACTAAAATTTAGATGAAAGTAAGGTCGTGGAACTTCACTAATTTATGTGTGTTTAAGTTAAGGCACTCTCCAAGTTCATGTACAAGGTTATCTATACCCAGGCCTACATCTAAGCAAGATGATGCAAATACAAAACTATGATCTTCAAATCTGATGTCACTGTTACCTACACAGCGACTTCACTGTGGCAGCAATGAAAACAGTAATTTTCTTTCTATATGTACTCCCGATCAAGATTTTTTTTCCAAAATTATCACTTATTTTATAGCAAATTCAGAAACTATAGCACCCAACGCAAATAAATAAATAAATCAAAACTATGACCCCGTCGGCCTCGTGTTGGCCGAAGAGGGTGTTTTTGGCAAGGGTTTGGCCGAAAAGGGCTTTTCGTCCAGCAGTTGATCGAAGCAGAGGTCATCTGGGCCAAAGAGGTGGCGTCGGTCACGGGCCGGCCGAAAATCATAGCTTCGGCCTAAGCGCGACCGAAGTGGGTTCTTTTCGGCCAGCCAGTGGCTGAAGAGCTTTTCAGCCAGGCCTTGACCGAAAAGGTCTGGATAAGGCCGAAGTCGCCGTCTCCTTCCTCTCGACTGCTCGCACTCTCTCTC